ACTGCAAGAAAGCAAAAACAAATTCAAGGTCCATAATAAATTTGCGGTACTCTTGGGTGCTAATTAAGATGCAACAACTCAGAGGTTCCGACATATAGGTAATATTGCACCATTGCTCATTAAAGTACTCGGAGGGGTCTGGATCTATATCAAAGGCAGTTTGAAACAAGTGTCGTAGCTCGGGAGCTTTGTGAAATTTTTAAACAAAATAAAAACGACAAAAAAAATTTTTATCCAAAATTACAAAAACTAAAACAACATAGACGGAGAGAAAAATACCGTCAGAACGTAAGTTTTATGTCGTATGCTTCTTCTCCTTCTTCTTCTTCTTCTGGTTCCTATCCGTTTCGGATGTTGGAAATCATATTGGCAATCATAACCTTGCTCGCTGCGGCTCGAAACAGCTCCGTTGAGGTTTTTTTAAACCATGTTCTTAAATTCCACAGCTATAATATTCTCCTTCTACCGGGTCCTCGCTTACCTTTGACTTTACCTTGCAATATAGACTGTAGCAGGGAGTAACGGTGCTCATTTCTCATAACTTGTCCCAGATATTGCAATTTTATGCGTTTGATTGTAAACACAATATCTGGTTCCTTCTTCATTTTTCCTAGAACTTCCTTGTTCGTGATCCTTGCTGTCCATGATATTCTCAGCATTTTTCTATAAAGCCACATCTCAAATGCTTCAAGTTTTTTAATAGTGGTATCTTTAAGCGTCCATGCCTCCGCTCCTTACAACAACACAGAGAAAACATAGCATCTCAAATGTCTCATTTTTGTATCAAGGGATATGTTGTGACTTTTGAAGATAGCGCTCATTTTGTTAAAGACCGTTCTTGCCTTTCCCATGCGGCACTTTATTTCCTGTAAATTGCTCCACTCTTCGTTAATAATAGTTCCCAGGTAACAATACTGTTTTACTCGCTCTATCTGCGTCCCATTAATGTATAGATGAGCCCCGTTTGTATTCTCCTTGCTGGTAATCATTTGTTTCGTTTTGTGGGTAATAATGTTTAGTCCGTACTGTTGACTGTACTCGTTTATTCTGTCCGTTAGCCTCTGAAGTCCATCTAAACTATCTGTTAGCTCCATGGTGTCGTCGGCATATCTAACATTGTTTACTCTTTCACCATTTAGAAGGATGCCTTCGTCTATTCCGTAAAGAGCCTCGTTAAAAATTTTCTTTGAGTACATATTAAATATCAACGGCGATAGGATACATCCCTGTCTAACTCCACGTAGTATTTTTATGTGATCTGTTTCTTCTCCGTTAATTTTCATGTATGCGGTCTGATTCCAGTAGAGTTCTGAAATTATTCTGAGGTCTTTGTCATCCAGGTCTGCCTCTTTTAAAACGTTTATCATATTTTGATGTTGAACTCCATCAAATGCCTTTTCATAGTCGATCAAGCACTCGTATACGTCGCAGTTAACGTCCCTGCATCTTTGAATCAGTACCTGTACTCCGAAAAGTGCCTCTCTGGTACCCACTGCGTTAATGAAGCCGAACTGTCTGTCCGATATTTGTTCCTCTCACTTCTTATACATTCTTCCATGGATTACTCTAAGAAACAGTTTCAACATGTGGCTCATTAGGCTAATTGTTTGATATTCTTCGCACTTTTTAGCCCCCTGTTTTTTAGGTATCGCTATGAATTCTGATTCTAGCCATTTATAAGGGATGATTCCTGTATTGTATATTTTATTGAAGATAGCCGTGATCCAAATTATTTCTTCTTCCTCAAAGAGTTTTAAAAATTCAGCTTCGATATTATCAGGCCCTACAGCTTTCCTGCTTTTCATCCGTTTTATTGATTCTTCTACCTCGGATTTAAGTATGTCCGGGCCCGTCATCCTCTCTGAAAATGGATGCCTATAATCCGTTCTTTGATCTTGAAAAAGTGTCTCCAAATATATTCTTCATTTGTCTTTCATCTCTTGGGTGTCAATGATAAATTTTCCATTGGTGTCTATGAGTTTCATTTGTGTTCGCTTTTTAAAAGTACCCGTTATTTCTTTTACCTTTTTGTGTACATTAAAATTGTCATGCTTGGCTTGTAGTCTTTCTATTTCTTTACATTTCTCTACAGCTTCTTTTTCTTTAGCTTCTTTTATTTTTCTTCTGATGTAAGCCTGCATTTTTTATGCTTATCTTTATTTCCTTTAATTAACCTTCTGCGTTCCATTAAGTGAAGAATTTCTGGAGTCATCCAAGATTACTTCTTTGTTTCTTTGTTTGGTTTTAGCAAATCTTGTTTAGTTTTCTGAATTATTTCTTCGAATTGATTGTTCAATATAGAAAAATTAAAATACAATTTTATTTGCTTTAAAATTAATACAATTAAATATAGTTGAATTCAAGTTAATTTTTTAATAGTATCAAAATATTGCTACAATAAAAAATCTTTATGTTTTCTTCTTAATTTGCTACCCAAATAGTTCGATCGTCAATATTATTTGGAAACCTACATAGAAAAATAAATGAGTTTTATTCATTTCATTAATTTATTTGTATCCATGAGAAATATTAAATTAAAAAGGTACTAAACAGATCTTTTTTAATCAGATGATGTCTACTTACAGTTTATAAATGTCTACTAATTTAATGAACTCATATCTTATTCAATACATTAATGCACATGAATAAACCCAATGGTACGCCTATTAAAATGTAAACAAACACGCTTCCTCATTTCCTCATCTTAAATAATGTAAATTGTATGTACTTACAAATGAAATGAGAGATCGGGATGTAAATATTTCGTTTATTTTATTTCACTTTTCACAAATATCACTCAAAATACAGCCAAAATATCGAAAAATAACTTTTTCCTTATTTGCTGTTAAAAGTAAACAAGCATGGAACAGCATTTGAAGTTTGACGTAGATCCATCAAACAGAGAAATGTAAACAACCGTTGCCATTTATAAATAGTTTTCAGTGTTTCTACATATAAAATAATTGATTGATATCTATTATACGCTATTACTAAATGATAATGCACACTATGTGCACACATGATATTTTGATCACAATTAAATATATTAATATAACCAATAAATTATTATTTTGGTTTGATAGCACCTGTAGAGTATAAAATACGGAGTAATATTTTCAGCGACTCGCGAATAAGAAATTTTAAAACAAAACGTGACAACAGTTGAAGGTGCTCAGAATGTGACCTATCTAAATAATTTTGACTTCACAATTTTATGTAAATAACTGAGCCCATCTGTGTTTATACGTCCATGGTTTTCTATTGTGGCTCTTGTTGTTTTTGATCTATTTGCCTGAGTTGTTATTTGTTCGGTTTGTTATTTTGTTTTTTCTTTCATTCTGTAACGAAAATATTTTGCCTACCACATGGGGTATTATTACAGGAGATAGAAACTTAGGGGAAAAACTATTGGGGGTGGAGATAGGGCAAGCAAAATAATCGCTACTAATGTGAACGGCACTCAGGGTTTCGTAGGAGAGCTGTGGTCGTGGATAACTAAAAGATAAGAGGGGTGGAATGGGGCAACTACAAAGAAATGAAATAAAGGGGTCATCAATCTCTTGGGATAAACAAAATAAAAATAAACAAGAAACACCTCAAGGAATTTAATATAGGGCGCCACTTGAGGTGCCTAATCATGCCTATTACAACCACTAGTTGTAACTAGGAAATAATTATACAACAACAAAAACATATCTTTTTCAAAAAAAAAAATCAAAAAAGGGTTAGCTCAAAAAAATAAATAAAATGTTAAGACAACAAAATTTAACCTTTACTTATGTGTCACCACAAACTGTTACAATATGGAGAAATACAAAATACACAAACTTACGTCTCATCCGCTTGCAAACTCCAGGAGTTGGAGATACTACATAATCTTAAAAAATTTATATGGAGGTTAACCTTGTTTAAAAATAAAACAAACTAATAGTCAAAAAAAATAATAAAAAACGAGCTGTCACAAGTTAACATTAAATTTAAAAAAAAACTAAACACACAAATTGGCAGCTCAACTCAAAACCTAAAATTTACAATTTTAAATGTCAACGAAAGCAATTATTTAATTCAAAACAAATTGTCTGTCTTTACTTTAAAATTCGATCAAAAAGGTACCTGGATTTTCACTAACAAAATGCACTAGAATTTGTGGAACCAGACGCCACTGGAATATCCGAAACCATAACTGGAACTGAGGGCTTTACTTTCTGTGCAATGAACACAACTATCTATCTCCATATCTCGAACAAATCTATCTCCATACTGCCAAAAGCCTTGGATGATAACCAGGGAGAAACAAAACGAGGATGGAAACGACGATTCTTCCAATCCTCACTCAAACATTTACTGAACCATTAACTTCACAGTGCTACACATTTTCTTCATAAAAAAAGACGAACAAACGTCTTCATAAAAAAACACAAACAACGAGGAACATTTCGAATTTGAAGTCAAATTCGGACATAACGTTGACCGCTTTTCACCGCGGCTCCAACGATAGTGAAGAAATTCTATTAAAATTGAACGCATACATACAAACGCTGACATAACAAGACACCACGAAACGACGTACATATCCTTTTGCGACGCATAAACTTGAAAAGAAATTGACGAAGTAAAATAAACAACACTCAAATGGTTTTATTACTCGGCGACGAAACACTTTTGGGTACGTTGAAAGATACGAACTAACAACACGGAAAAATTCTTCGTTTCATTTTTTAAAAATATATAAGGAGTTTTTAATATATTTTATTATACGAGGAGGTTTCAATATACTCAAAAAACTCAATGAAATTGAAAATGCTACAATTTAAAAAACTCTGAGAAAAAATTTCTTCTGCTATTCTATAGTTTTTTTGAAATTATAAATTAGGCTATTATATTTTGGAAATTACGTAATATTTCTTTATTATTTAACTTTAGTTAGTAGTTTAAAATTTTATTCTGCTTTTTAATTTTGGTTTTATATTTTGAGATTGTTTATTAATCTTACTTTTTAGGCATGCTCCACCATTTTGTACTAGATGATTCCATGTACAAAGGAAAATGTACTGTTACTCAATTTGATGTAAGTTTTATTTACAATATATAATATAATTAATATAATATTTCCTTCCTGCGATTATTTCTTGCAGCTAAAATCACAAAAAGGTATTGTGAAGAAGAACTAACTTTGAGACATTAATTTAGTATGTACCAAATTTATAAGCATAAAAATCTTGAGAAAAGTACATAATAAAAAAGCATACAAGTTTGACATAAAAATGTATTGCATTTTCACAAAAATATCAAAAAAGGAACCACAAATTAAATGGAACAACGAAATCTGCAATGTAATAAAAAGTTCATTTAGTTATAGTTGCAGTTAAGTGTTCTAATAAAAAGAAAGAAGGAAAAAGACAGTCAAGATTGGATTTCACGCGTAGTGCGTCTGTGTATCTGCTTACATGTATTTCGCCTTAATAGAGCTCGTCAGAGCAGCTATCCACAGTCGTTCTGAACGTGAAAATAAATCTTTTCTGTCTTAGGAAGCAACTCTAACATGGCTTCGTATAGACGCAAGTAGCGACATCTGATATTAGAATCCGTAAACTGATTTTTGAAACCAAATTCAGATTTTTGCTTTAATCTGTGCCTTCTAAAAATTGCAAGGCAAAACAGACGTGGATAAAGATGTTAATATGTTAATGTGTTCTAATATAATTTTCATATGGCTTACCTTTTTCTGTAGCATACTTGGCTTTACTTCCACAGTTGTTTTTGCTGCAATATTGCTTGCAACTACAATGTACAGAGATCTGTTTTAATCCAGGTGCTAAACCTGAAACAGTTCGGCAGTACACTCGCGTTGACGGAACTAAAAAAATATTATCAAATCGCACCCCTTCAGGCCATTTAGTTGTTTTTGTCAGCCAAACATGTAACCAACATGTATCCTATATCTTGTTTGGATCTCTTTACAGATCCTTGACTTTGCGGCTATAGTTTATTTTTATGAACGAGAGAGTAATTAGCATAATTTTAACTGGTACCTCCGACCACTCCATGGGCGTGCTCAAGATTAATTGAAAAATTACTTTGAATAATTGTAAAAAATAAATGAATTATTTCAGTGTTATAAAGTGTTATGTGTATGTAAACAAAAGTGACCTCTTTTATCACACACTATATGAGAACTGACTGGCCTACATTAAAAAGGGTTTTAAAAAATTCACATTTTTTTTAATTTTTAAAAATTACAAAAGAGAAAAAGAGTTTTTAAAACCGTCTAAGGTATGTTAAATAGATGAATAAAAATATTAATATAAAAGTTACAGCTACTTGTTACAAATCCAAATCAGATTCAGAAGATGAACTTTCAGAAACAACATTTATAATAACTGGCTCGATCATTTTATGAGTAATATTGTCAAGCTTCCACATTTTTTCCTCTTCTTTAATAGTGTGATTTACTGCCTTTTCCCAGTTTTCAGGTTTTACATTATTTACGGCCTCCAAAAACAACTGTTTAACATCATGAATTTTAGAAGTGGTATTTTTTCTTGAAACTTCACTTTTTATCTGTGCCAATACCAGTTCAATCGGGTTTAATTCACAATGATATGGTGGGGATCTAAGTACTGTCATTCCACGATTTTTGGCAATTTCATCAATTTCGTATTTTTAAAATTTTTCTTTATGAAGGGCACACAACGAATAAAGTTCCTTTCTTATAGATCCGGGATGGTACGTAATATTTTTTGAACTCAGCCAATTCTGCAAGTCTTTTTTTAACCACTTGGTTGTGGGCAGTCCTTCTATAAGTCTGGAGTGATAACTTGCATTATCCATTACTATTACACAGTTCTTAGGAAGAAGATCTATCATTTGTTCGAACCATTCTTGAAAGACATCAGCGTTCATGTCTTCATGGTAGTCACCGCTACGAGTTGATTCAAAAGTTAATAAACCACCTTCAACAAAACCGTCTGAACTGCCAATGTGTACTATTATCAGCCTGCGTCCCTTTCCTGATGGTGGGTTTAAACCAGTAGATAAGTTATTTACAAAAGCGTGCCTTTGACTTGTAACAGTTTCATCCTGCCAAAATTTATTTGGTGTATGACCCTCGTTGATCCATGTTTCACCAAGATAAAATATTTTTCTTTTTTGGTTTCTCATTTCCTTTATGGTTCTTAGAAAATGTCTTCTCCATATGACAATATCGCTTCTTTCTAATAAAATAATAGACTTTCTGGGATTCTTTTTTCAGCGGAAGCCTATTTCTTTTAAAAGTTTCCGTAACGTACTTCGACTCATTTCTGGGTAATCCTTATTATCTCGAACTGAGACAAGAACTTTATCCAATGTTGGAAATTCTTGTCTAAAGAAGAATTCATGCACTTTCCGTCGAAGTCCTTGTTTAAAATGATATTCTATTTGAAATTTTGGTTTCCCTGGAGCATTACGTGGCATTTAAAAACTACCACATTTCTCTTCTTTAATAACTCTGTAAATCGTAGATTTCCCAACACCAAGTATACTGCTAACCAAGTGTACCCGTAGAAGTGTACTGCTAACTAACTTAACGGTCTCATCAACACTTTCACATAAACGTTTGTCTGTAAATGATTTAAAACAATTAAATATTAATGTTTTTTCATTAACTGTTAAAGGGCCAATTTTTCGGCGTTTACACGGCACTTCCAAATTTTCCATAACACTAGTATACACAATAAACTGCACCTTGCAACTGAAGTACCTACTTTTAGTGAACTGTTAAGAATTTTGAATAAGCCACTTGGACCTTCCTACAAAATGGAAAAACCCACTATCACATTTTCTGTGGAATAAGTTTAGAAGGTAATTATCTAGTCAATTACTGTCGTAGATTCCTGGAATTAAAGAATTAAATGTTTGATTGTTGAAACCCTTACTTCGTGGAATGCACTCATTTCAGATAAATGAGTGCATTCCACGTTTTATTTTATCTAAAGAATTAAACTTTATTTTGCAAATAGGTAGGTACTTATTAAACTTTTATTGGTTATATATAACCAATAAAATAAACATCTTACATTTCTTGCAAATTCATTAGTACCTGTTAACCTCCATCACTCCGACACTGGCAACCTTATTTAGGGATTAGTAACCCTCACAACTATTGTATTCTATTCTGCTCCAACCTTTATACCTGGTGGTCATACTCAATTTAAAATTGTTTTCCTATATACTTCTGTAAACTTGTTGACAAATATCTGTTTTTCATTGAGTCACCCGTATCAACAGTTTAGGGATTTGCATACATAATTTATTGTTTTATTACTCTCTCATACATAAAAATACACTATAGAGATTTTTATATAAATTTTATCAGGATTATCACATTGTAGCATCCAACAGTAGTCTGCCGTTATGGATACGCTCCATTTACCCTGATAACGTCTTTCCATCTGCTTATTGTCTTGATGAAAACGTTTTTCTTGCTCTTCGCTAACAGCTCCAAGATTTCCTGGAAATTGGTCTAGATGAGCAGATAAAAAATGTACTTTTAAACACATATTGCATCCTAGAATAAGAAAATTTTGTAGCATTTTCATGAGAATGTTTTCATAGTCTGGAACTTTCTTATTTCCCAAGAACTTTTCGATAACTTCTTTAAATGAAGTCGACGCTTTTTTTTCGATAACCGTTATAAAATTTTGACAGTTTTCGTTTCTGCCTTTAACAGTTAATGAAAAAACATTAATATTTAATTGTTTTAAATCATTTACAGACAAACGTTTATGTGAAAGTGTTGATAAGACCGTTGAGTTAGTTAGCAGTATACTTGGTGTTGGGAAATCTACGATTTACAGAGTTATTAAAGAAGAGAAATGTGGTAGTTTTCAAATGCCACGTAATGCTCCAGGGAAACCAAAATTTCAAATAGAATATCATTTTAAAGAAGGACTTCGACGGAAAGTGCATGAATTCTTCTTTAGACAAGAATTTCCAATATTGGATAAAGTTCTTGTCTCAGTTCGAGATGATAAGTATTACCCAGAAATGAGTTAAAGTACGTTATGGAAACTTTTAAAAGAAATAGGCTTCCGCTGGAAAAAGAATCCCAGAAAGTCTATTTTATTAGAAAGAAGCGATATTGTCATATGGAGAAGACATTTTCTAAGAACCATAAAGGACATGAGAAACCAAAAAAGAAAAATATTTTATCTTGATGAAACATGGATCAACGAGGGTCATACACCAAATAAATTTTGGCAGGATGAAACTGTTACAAGTCAAAGGCACGCTTTTGTAAATAACTTATCTACTGGTTTAAACCCACCATCAGGAAAGGGACGCAGGCTGATAAAAGCACACATTGGCAGTTCAGACGGTTTTGTTGAAGGTGGTTTATTAACTTTTGAATCAACTCGTACCGGTGACTACCATGAAGACATGAACGCTGATGTCTTTCAAGAATGGTTCAAACAAATGATAGATCTTCTTCCCAAGAACTGTGTAATAGTAATAGATAATGCAAGTTATCACTCCAGACTTATAGAAGGAATGCCCACAACCAAGTGGTTAAAAAAAAACTTGCAGAATTGGCTGAGTTCAAAAAATATTACGTACCATCCCGGATCTATAAGAAAGGAACTTTATTCGTTGTGTGCCCTTCATAAAGAAAAATTTAAAAAATACGAAATTGATGAAATTGTCAAAAATCGTGGAATGACAGTACATAGATCCCCACCATATCATTGTGAATTAAACCCGATTGAACTGGTATGGGCACAGATAAAGAGTGAAGTTTCAAGAAAAAATACCACTTTTAAAATTCATGATGTTAAACAGTTGTTTTTGGAGGCCGTAAATAATGTAAAACCTGAAAACTTTGAAAAGGCAGTAAATCACACTATTAAAGAAGAGGAAAAAATGTGGAAGCTGGACAATATTACTGATAAAATGATCGAGCCAGTTATTATAAATTTTGGTTCTGAAAGTTCGTCTTCTGAATCTGATTTGGATTTGTAACAAGTAGCTGTAAGATTTATATTAATATTTTTATTCATCTATTTAACATACCTTAGACGGTTTTAAAAACTCTTTTTCTCTTTTGTAATTTTTAAAAATTAAAAAAAATGTAAATTTTTTAAAACCCTTTTTAATGTAGGCCAGTCAGTTCTAATATAGTGTGTGATACAAGAGGTCACTTTTGTTTACATACACATAACACTTTATAACACTGAAATAATTCATTTATTTTTTCCAATTATTCAAAGTAATTTTTCAATTAATCTTGAGCACGCCCATGGAGTGGTTGGAGGTACCAGTTAAAATTATGCTAATTACTCTCTCGTTCATAAAAATAAACTATACCAAACGCAGTTTTTTGACAAAAATGAAAAGATTTCTTTAAGTTGTGCATGCAAAATATGTAGTTTTCTTTATTTTGGGCATTACTCTTATTTTTAAAATATATTAATAAATGAATTTATAACCACATTTAGTGTTTTTTTTTTTTTAATTTGCTAAAATATCTTAAGTGATAGAAAAAATTGGTTTGCAGATTTGGAATCAGCGCACCAAAATTATATAAAATAACTTCAAATTTAAAACATCGTTCAAAAAGTTTTTTTTGTAGACCTATGTAATTCATCTAACTAGTTAATTTCTAATTATTTTTGCGGTGTATATAAAGCAATAAAAAATATAACGACATTCTTAAAATTTATTTAATAGTTCTTAAATAATTCCTTAAAATTTTTAAACAGTTGAAATTTGTTATTTATATTAAAATTATATGAAACATTTATTATTCTAAACAATTGAATTTTAGTTTAAACAAAATTATTTTGTCAATAATATTAATAATTGAAAGTCAACACTAATCTCATTTATTTCAAGGAAGCATCAAAAGTTAGAGAAGAATGCTTGAAATCTATAACTGGTGCTTTGGATCTAGTTAACACTAAGGAAATTCCGGTAGCATCACCAATCAGTTTTGCCAGGAAACAATGTACGCTTAAAACTCAAATAAATGGTTGTGTAGAAAAGGCCAATGAGATAGTTAAGGATTGTTTCGATACTACTCAAAACCATGCGATTGATGTCTGGAAGAAAATAGATACCGAAATATATGATTATCTGTGTGGTAACAAGGGTCGTGTGTCCTTTAGTAAGTATAGTTTATAATAATAGCCAGTACTATAAGTGATATTTTCTTACTATATATGTGTATTATTATGATCTGGGCTTCTTCTGGACTAAAAACCAATATTATTCTCACATTATATTGAGAAATGATAATATTTTCAATTTTATCTAACGCTATCCTGTTATTTCATGTTAAACAAAAATTATTGTGGAATACGGCTCTGACCTTGGTTTAACAAACCAAATTTAGGTTAGCTCCGATAATATTGTTTAAATCCAATAGATTAATATAAACAGAAATAGTTAATAGTGTTTACTAAAAAATCTACAGTGCCTTTCATCGATTGGCCTGAAATTGCAGTGAGTAAAATTAATATTCTCAATAATACATAATACAACATATCTGGAAGTCAACAAAATTATCACAAAGGCCGCTTCAACCGGTTCCTAGAGCGAGTTTTATTTAAAAGTCGTTTGATAATACAGAGCCGGATTGGCACGGGTAAAAAATTGACTATGATAAATAAATTTAATGACAAAAATTATTAACCAAAAATAAATCCAAAGGAAAATAATCCTTCATAAAACACCACACCGTCTACATACTCATACATACTACTCAAACATAAGGAATTAAAATTCATGATTATATAGTTGAGGAGCTTGCGTTTAAAAGGGACTATATCCATTTGGAAAAAATGTCCAGGAAACGAAAAAAACTTTTTATCGGTTGGTCTTAGTACTTGGGGATAACAAGATAAGGTTTATTTGTAGTGTTTTAGGAAAGTAGTTTGGTGCAATTTGATTTTTATTTTTTGAGTTAACGTTTTTTGAAAAAAATTGATTATTAATCTAGATATGGATAGTTTTGATTGCAAAATTTTAATAATTCTCAAAAATAACTTATTAAAACGCTAGAAAATACATTTTTATTATAAAATTGGAACACAAAAGTCAAAAGGAACCAAAAGCACTAAAAAATATTTATATATGAAGAGCAGGTTCTTCATCCAAACAGTCACATTCCTCGCTCTTATCTACTTCTTTGCCAGTAGATTCCGTGTCTGCATTAGCGGAAACAAGTAAATCCTTATATCATTTTAGATCTGCTCACAACATCCAATTTTCACCAAACAGCTTTTTCAGAAGCTTCGTAAGACTGGATTTCTTCTTATCTGGTAACGAGTTTCTGGGCTCTATAATGTTTAGAACCAGGTTTCCATCGTCTTTTCCTTTTTTTCCATCATCTGACACGATTTATTTTCAGATGCGAACCAATAATATAGGTGTGTATTTACTTTAATCTTTTGTTGGCTTTGAATGTCTTTTGTAATAAAATTTCTTTTTCAAATTTTACACCGGTACTGTTGCGTATAGTCAGTAAGTCTGTCTATTCACCAAGAGAGGAGTATTGTCCTGAATGTTCACGATGCTCTGGTTTCTCAGAGTCCCACAAACACTGTTCGCAACATAGTCGAAAGTTGTGCCAACATGACTGGCGTAGGGGAGTCAACTATATATAGGTTCCTATCAGAAAGAAAAAACAGCCTTTCTACCAGGATGAAACGTGGGTAAACACAGGTCATACTTTAAAAAAAATTTGGTCAGATAAAAAAGCTGCAGGCAAGCCTTTATGACAGGTTGTTTTACTGGTATCTCCGCACCTTCTGGTAAAGGCAGTAGATTAATAATTTCTCATATTGGCAGTAAAAAAGAATTTGTTAAGCATGGTTTGTTGGAATTTCAGTTCAAAAGCACAAAAGACTATCACGAGGAGATGACAGCTGTTGTTTTCGAAGAGTATTTTGAGCAGATGATTGAACAAATACCACCAAATTTAATTATAGTATTGGATAATGCACCTTATCATTCACGACTAGTAGAAAGTAGACTTCCAACAACTGCCTGGAAGAAACAGGATATTCTTGACTGGCTGCGGAATAAGTATCTGCCCTACGAAGATGGAATGGTAAAAGCAGAACTTTTAAAAATTGCCCGGCAACACAAATTTAAGTTCAAGAAATACGTAGTTGACAAAATGGCGGAAAGTCGAAACATCACAGTCCTTACACTTCCACCATACCACTGCGAAATAAATCCAATTGAATTCATTTGGGCACAAATGAAAAGTTATGTGGCTAAAAAAATACGTCATATTAAATACAAGCTGTACGTGAATTGTTATGCAAAACTGTCCAACATATTACAGAACAAAACTGGAAAGATGAAGTAAGACGTGTAATACAAGAGGAACAAAACATGTGGGATCTAGATAACATAATTGATGCGACTGTAGAATATTATTAACCCTCAAGACGAGTCGGATTCCGAAGTCCTATTTATTTTGAATTTGAATAGTTTTCTAATCGTAATTATATAAATCGTAAGGTATTAAAGGGGAAAGGCGCAAAATGTCGCCTGTCAAATTGTTCGATGTGTTTTAAATGTATCCATTTTTTTTCAAATCCCTGAAGAACTAAAAAGCATTTTTGAAAAATTCAAAGGCAGAATGAAATATTTATTTGACTAAATAAAAAGTTTCTTTTGCATGCAATATTTTCAATTAAAAATTATGCTATATTTTCTCTTTTATTTTCATTTTCTAAATATTTATTAGTTTTATCCGGATTCAAAAATAATGGATACATTTAAAACACATTGAAAATTTTGCCAGGCGACATTTGGCACCTTTCCCCTTAATTAAATAAATGTATTTTTTACAAAATGGCAAGAACATTTTTATTTTTGAATAAAATTAAGAAGTTTTGTTAAAACAAAATACAATTTACATAAGTACAATTTAAAAAATATATTTATTTGTTTCAAATAAATGTTTTATTCATATACTCTACGACACTGGTCGGTCATCTGTAGCCAAAATACCTTCGTAATTGGATTATAAGGTTGACTGCTGTATTGTATTCCTTCAGATGCAAGGTGGGTTAGTCGAAAAAATCTTAAACCGTCAGTTTCAGGTTGGTTTAAACTAGTATATCGTATTATCTATCCTCTCTGTATTTCAGGTCTTTAATTAGGGTTAAACTTGTAATGAGCTATAGACAAATTGTGAACCAAATATAGTTTTGGATTTCTCAATAACCTGGATCTTATTTATCAAAGACATTTATTTTCTATTTATATTCCGCGAATGTATTATTTAAAATGAATGAAAATTGCAAACATTTTTTGTGTTTATTTATTGGGATTGAAGAATTTATCAAGTTAACTAAATTTCTATAATTTTTATTATTTAAATGACTGCGTAAAACCACCATATCATTTCTATCTTTTTCAATACCACGTATGTATGACCTGATTTAACAAGTACATTTTTAGCCTACTATAGAAGAGAGTCCACCTGTTGGAAAGACGGTGTAGGCAACGCATCCGCAACTTGCATTAAAAATAACATCAAATCTGAACTACCACTTTATGATATAGCCAAACTTCAGGATCACTGCAGGTAAGAAATAAACTGTTTACAATCAATTTTTGAACTATTTGTATGTTTCTAACTTACTTATTTACGCTAGATATTTGTATCATTTTTTTTTTATTAAAATTAAACATTTTGTATACTTACTTTAGATTTTTATATTTTTTAAGTTGTTACTATAATAAAAGTGGGCTATTTGTTAACTATTTTTTACTCGAGCTTTCAAGTATGTTTACAATCGTTATCAAGAGCTGTTAAAAAATACAAAATATCTTACAAAGTTAAACTAGAAAGAAAAGGTTTTTGTTAACTCACCAAATAAAATTTTGTTTTGCTGAAAATAAAATTTTGTTTAAAAATTCTTTTTTGTTTAGTAACAAAAAAGAAGAAGTTTTATTTACCATTGATGCCTGAAGAAATATAACAAATACATGGAAAATTAAATCAATAGTACATTGTTTACCGGGTAGGAAAAGCTTAACATTCCTGGACGACTTTGAAGATTGCTAAGTCGAGGCGTAAGCCGAGATTTAGCAACACAGAGTCCAGGAATGTGGCTTTTCCTACGAGGTAAATCTTCGTATTTTTCCGCAAATCGTTTAAAATTCGACAGATATTGATTGATTTAAAAAAAAAACGCGATAATTTTATTCCCAAATAAATGGTGCTTTGAAATTCCTAATAAAATTACTTGGGTTACTATGGTAACGTATTGAGGTTGAATTGTCAAACTTGACGCTTATAAATTTAATTGCTGGTGTTCTCGAAAGTAAAATGATAAGTGATGATGAAATTTCCATTACTGGGACTCCTCCAGAGCTGGTTGAAGCAGTGAATACTGCTTCATTAGAATTACTGCCAAAGAAATCAAGAGAAAAGTACGAAAATGCATACAGACGTTTTATGGATTATCGCATGAGTAAAAATACGAGTTCTTTCTCAGAAAATGTTGTAATTTCATACTTCCTAGACCTTTGTTTAAAGATGAAATTTTCAACATTATGGGCCAATTATTCAATGCTGAAGTCAACCCTTGCACTTAAACACAATGTAGATATATCTACATACTCAAAACTTCGTTCTTTATTGAAATGCCAAGCTCAAGGTTATAGGGCAAAGAAATCTAAGATTTTAACGAAGGAAGAAATTGAAAAATTTATCCAGGAAGCTCAAGATAAAGAAAATTTAATGATTAAGGTAATTTACAAGGTTTTAATTTCTATTTAGATTATAGCTTTATTTATTTTTTAGGTGGCTGTAATATTTGGTATTTCTGGGGTCTGTAGAATGGATGAGTTAGTCCGAATGACTGTACACGATATAGAAGACTTAGAATCTAAGCTTTTAATCAACATACCTGATTCGAAAACCAACAAAAAAAGATCATTTGTAATTAATCAGATCTACTTGAATGTTTGTCGAAAGTATGTTTCGTTAAGACCAGAAAATATGAACAGTGACCGATTTTTCTTTAAATATCAAAGCGGAAAGGATTGTAGACAAGTGGTAGGAATTTATCAATTTAGAAAAATACCCAAAATAATTGCTACTTATTTGAACTTGGTAAATCCGACAGAATATACTGGTCACTGCTTTCGTCGGTCTTCTGCAACAATATTGGTTGACTCTGGTGCCGACATAACTAGTTTAAAGAGGCATGGCGGATGGAAGTCATCAAACGTTGCTGAAGGATATATCGAAGAATCGCTTAACAATAAGGTTGAGGTAGCAAATAAAATTTTCACAGTACAAAATATTCAACAAAATGACACTTCCACCCTGTATGTTGTCCAAAATGTTTCTCATAGTTCTAAGAGTGTTCCTCCAATGTTCAATAATTGTACTAACTGTCAAATTACTGTAAATATAACAAATTGATCTTAAAAATGTATTCAGCAATGACTTGATGTTTTCAAAATATAAATTAATTCCTTATAAGCAATGTGTTTTCTATCATTTATGTAGAACACTAACAACTGTACGGAAATATCATTTCCTTACAGTAAGGAAATGACATTTCCTTACAGTAAGGAAGTCCTGACTTTTTCTTCAAGAAATTTTGACAGGAATGTCAAAATTTCCTGGCGATTTACGGAAAAATATGATACTTTACTGGTTTCATATATAAACTACAAGTACGTAGAAATAATATAATTATAAATTTTGCTTAGATTTTGAATTTCTGACCTTTTGTTTAAATTATTATCACTTTTGCTAATATAAACCATTTCCAAAAAAGTTCTTTTGAATTTATTACTTTCACTACATAAAATTTTAATATTATCAAAATTCATAATATGGTCTTTGTCGATTAAATGCTCTGCCAAAGCACAAGATGGTTTCTTAATTCTGTAATCAGTTTTGTGAGAAATAATGCGATTTGAAAGATTTCTTCCGTTCTCACCTACATACTCAGCTTCACACTTGTACATTTGTTTTATCTAATTTGTCTATAGGATACTTAGTTTGGAATATAAAGATGAAATGGTTTTGATGTTCTTTGTTGCTATTTTTATATTGTCAATAACCTTTAGTGTTTGTATTAATTTAGGAGTTAATGATGGTATAAAAGATAGTGAATGATAATAGATGTTCTGATTGTTAGATACAATGTACTGAGATTTAGCAAAAAATGGTGTCAAGTTATTTATATTAATAATGTTAGAAAAAGCATCCTATGTAGCATATCTGGAGGACAAGAGTTTTCAATTAAAACATTTTTTAACAATTGAAGATCGTCTTGTAAATAATCTGGATGAGAAAGCTTTAAGACACGTTCTTTTAATTCTGTTATAAGGTTCATTTTGATCTTATTTGGATGATAAGAGTAATAGCTTATAAATCTATTACTACATATGGGTTTTCTGAACCATCTGGTTTTCACCATATTGTTGAAATAATATTATGATAATATTATAAGAACTACAGACAATATGTTGAAAACCAGATGGTTTAGAAAACCCATATGTAGTAATAGATTTATAAGCTATTACTCTTATCATCCAAATAAGATGAAAATGAACCTTAAAACAGGATTAAAAGAACGTGTTTTAAAGCTTTCTCATCCAGATTATTTACAAGAAAATCTTCAATTGTTAAAAAATAATATTTTAATTAAAAACTCTTATCCTCCAGAAATGCTACATAGGATGCTTTTTTCTAATATTATTAATATAAATAACTTAACACCATTTTTTGCTAAATCTCAGAACATTTTATCCAACAATCAGCACATCTATTATCATTCACTACCTTTCATATCATCATTAACACCTAAATTAATACAAAAATTAAAGGTTATTGACAATATAAAAATAGCAACAAAGAACATCAAAACCATTTCATCTTTATATTCCAAACTAAGTATCCTATAGACAAATTAGATAAAACAAATGTAGTATACATCATTAGTTCTACTCAATGTGAAGCTGAGTATGTTGGTAAGAACGGAAGAAATCTTTCAAATCGCATTATTTTTCACAAAAGTGATTACACAATTAAGAAACCATCTTGTGCTTTGGTAGAGCATTTAATCGACAAAGACCATATTATGAATTTTGATAATATTAAAATTTTATGTGGTGAAAGTAATAAATTCAAAAGAACTTTTTTGGAAATGGTTTGTATTAGCAAAAGTGATAATAATTTAAACAAAAGGTCAGAAATTCAAAATCTAAGCAAAATTTATAATTATATTAATTCTATGTAGTTTATCCAGTAAAGTATCATATTTTGATTTTTTCATTGAAATTTTTCATGTATTTGTTACATTTTTTTAGGCATCTATCAATGGTAAATAAATCTTCTTCTTTTTTTGTTACTAAACAAAAAATAATTTTTAAACAAAATTTTATTTTTGGCAATATAATTGTCTAAAATAAATATTTTTATTTAAAAATTCAATTGTTTTTGTGTTAAGAAAACTTTCTCAAAATTATATTAAAATTTCAGAGAAGCATTATTAGATTAGACCATTTTTATATTAATATTTTTTGAAATATATTAGCAGCATTTTTAAAATGCCAAACTAATTTTATTTGGTGAGTTAACAAAATTTTTTCTTTCTAGATCAACTTTGTAAGATATTTTGTATTTTTTAGCAGCTCTTGACAATAATTGTTAACACAATTGAAAGCTTGAATAAAATATAGTTACCAAATAGCCCCTCTTATTGACTCCAACCCATCCAAAACAGTTATATATATATATATATATATATATATATATATATATATATATATATATATATATATATTATTTGTAGTTTCAGCAATTGGTCTGTGTGAAATAAAACTCTATTTGTTATTTCTCAATATTTCGTCACGATTTTGTGACTTCTTCAGGAGAAAACTGTAAATTTATTATAATTATTATATGTAAACAAAATGAATATTTCAATACTTACAACTTAAGATTAAAAATTTTAAATTTTGATAACATATCCAATTAGATAAATGACATTTTTTTGATTTAATTTATTTGGGAGTTATGGTAACCGCAATATTTTATAGAGTGAATTCCCATTGTACAATTTTTAGCGAATAAGTTTTAATAAACAATTACATATTGTGACAGTATTATCCATATAATAAGGTGCAAAAGTAGAATATTGAGAAAGAATCAGGAACATGGTAAATTGATCTATAAAATGTAATTGATGGTACGTAGTCAGTTATTGGTCTGATGTTGTTAGATATGAAGATATGAAGATCTATCATATTATATATTGTTTAGTATATTACAGTAGATATTACTTAAATGGTTGGTGTCTGTCTTATAATTGATAGATTCTGGAGTTTTATTAATGTGTACCATTTCAAGGAAAAGTCGATTTTTATAATTATCAATTTGTTCTAATATTTTTACATTATTAAAGTCAAAGTTATGTCCTGTCTTTAAGTGGTGGTCTACTAAGGCACAAGAGTTTTTTCGTAAGTTACAGTCACTTTTGTGTTGAGTGACACGTTGTTTAAGCCACTGTTGACTTTGTCCAATATAACAACTTTGACATTGACTGCAATTTATTCTATAAATTATATTAGGTACTCATTAGTGAATTTGGAGTTTTAACTTTTATTTTTGAGAACAACCTTGAATTTAGAAGTGGATTGTATTTAATTAATTTAATGTTCGGAAATGTTTTGAAAAGTGGGACAATTTGGTCTGTTAAATTTTTTATGTAAGGTATTTTTTTGTATAAAACTGGTTGTGGATTATTTATTAAAGTTCTATTGTGAAAGTGAGTGTTATAAATAAGTTTTTTTAATATATGTTTTGGGTAGCCATTGTTTAAAAACATTTCAAAAATGGGCAGTCCTATTAGCCCTATTTTAGCAACAATTATCCTAGACCATTTATTAGACCTTGGAATCTCAAAATTGCCGTTTTCAATAACATTTATTTATAAATTTGTTGATGACATAATATGCAGCGTACCATTCAACCATATTCAGACAATACAAACGATCTTTAATTCACTTGATCAAAATATTCAATTCACTGTCGAGTATGAAAATGAAAATAGTATACCTTTTTTAGATACCAAAGTTATAAGAACTAATGATAACAGAATAATATTAGATTGGTATCAAAAAGATACTGCATCCGGCAGATTTATAAATTATTATTCTAATCATCCTAGAAATCAAAAATTCAACACAATTATATCTATGAAAAATCGTGTAACGGCAATCTGTGATCGGAGTTTCCTAAATGTCAATTTAAAGAAACTTTTTGAAATGTTTTTAAACAATGGCTACCCAAAACATATATTAAAAAAACTTATTTATAACACTCACTTTCACAATAGAACTTTAATAAATAATCCACAACCAGTTTTATACAAAAAAATACCTTACATAAAAAATTTAACAGACCAAATTGTCCCACTTTTTAAAACATTTCCGAACATTAAATTAATTAAATACAATCCACTTCTAAATTCAAGGTTGTTCTCAAAAATAAAAGTTAAAACTCCAAATTCACTAATGAGTAATATAATTTATAGAAGAAATTGCAGTCAATGTCAAAGTTGTTATATTGGACAAAGTCAACAGTGGCTTAAACAACGTGTCACTCAACACAAAAGTGACTGTAACTTACGAAAAAACTCTTGTGCCTTAGTAGACCACCACTTAAAGACAGGACATAACTTTGACTTTAATAATGTAAAAATATTAGAACAAATTGATAATTATAAAAATCGACTTTTCCTTGAAATGGACCACATTAATAAAACTCCAGAATCTATCAATTATAAGACAGACACCAACCATTTAAGTAATATCTACTGTAATATACTAAACAATATATAATATGATAGATCTTCATATCTTCATATCTAACAACATCAGACCAATAACTGACTACGTACCATCAATTACATTTTATAGATCAATTTACCATGTTCCTGATTCTTTCTCAATATTCTACTTTTGCACCTTATTATATGGATAATACTGTCACAATATGTGATTGTTTATTAAAACTTATTCGCTAAAAATTGTACAATGGGAATTCACTCTATAAAATATTGCGGTTACCATAACTCCCAAATAAATTAAATCAAAAAAATGTCATTTATCTAATTGGATATGTTATCAAAATTTAAAATTTTTAATCTTAAGTTGTAAGTATTGAAATATTCATTTTGTTTACATATAATAATTATAATAAATTTACAGTTTTCTCCTGAAGAAGTCACAAAATCGTGACGAAATATTGAGAAATAACAAATAGAGTTTTATTTCACACAGACCAATTGCTGAGACTACAAATAATATTTAACACAGTACGGTCGAGAATAATTTGATAAATATATATATATATATATATATATATATATATATATATATATATATATATATATATATATACATATTGTAACTCTATACTCATATTTTATTTTAAACACTCATATATATAATTTTTTGTAATATTATTTCCACTTTATGGTCCTTTAATATCAGTATTTTTTTTTTATTTTTAAAGCCTTCTTTATTTATAAATAAAATATTTAAAGTTCTAAATTTATGTAACTTTTAGTGAATTCAGCGGTTATGAGAAGTGCATGACAGAAGACATACCAAAAACCTGCCCTCAGGACACTATTACTATATTGCTACCTATTATAAAATCTATAAAGAATGGAATTTGTAACGACATTGTACCAGGTCAAGACGACTATAAGCAATTCTTTAAACAAGCTCTTTCTGGCGACTTCATGTTTTAGGTTAACTCATATTCATAACCATTCCTAATTGAAAACTAAATAACAAATTAATTAACTAATCTGTAGTTTAATACTAAAATAAATTTTTGTACATACATGTGCTCATTTTTGTTAATTACCTTATGTTATATTTCGATGTACATATTTTGAAAATTATATATCGCCTTTTTGTATTTTGCATTACAAAATATCTTTAACACTGTCCTTAAATGAAACCAACTTACAATAATCTGTAATAGAGTTGATTTCGAACCTTCGAACAGTGAATACGTTATCGTTTTCAGTCGCAGTCGTTCAGTAGCAAATATGCAGTTCCCATTGAAAAAACAAGCGATTGTCTTCAGTGCCTTGGATAATACTAAACTGCAAGACTATTTAATTCAATTGGGCAAGATAATTTAACCTTAGAATATATTATTTCATCCAGATTATCAAATAACCGTATTTGCATGTACCTAGCAAATAAAAAAGTAGTTGATGACTTTATGACAAACCACGGTCATATAAAAATTCAAAATGTAACTGTACAGGCTAGAAGATTAATCACCCCTGCGGAACTTTTATTGAAAGGTATAAAAAGGGGCTTACATCGGCAACTTTTAGTAGTAGCGTAAATAAAAATATTATTGTAATTAAAGATAAAAACATTATTTTGATTAAACATGTAGCATTTGCAATTCATGATTTTCTTGGTACATATAGGAATCCCCTCGTATATGTAATATATTGAAATCCCCTCATATATGTTAAAATCTTTTAATGTCTTTCGTTCGAATCGTTCAATATAAAACCCAAATAATATTTCGTTTTTTTCAGCGTCGCCAAGTAATAAAACCATTTCAGAGTTGTTTATTATTTTAAAGATATTTACTTTGGCAATTTCTTTTAATGTTTTATTCGAAGTCGTCGTATAATTTTTATATGACGCAAAAGGATATCTACGTTGTTTCGTTGTGTTTTGTTATTTCAGATTTTGTTTGTTTTCAATTTATATGAACGAATTTTTAAGTTCGTCATTCTTACTTGGGTCGTCGTATTCTCAGGTATGGATCTAATTCTTACTTGGGTCGTTGTAGGCTCAGGTATGGATCCGAATTCGTTGTCGAATTTGTGGTTTTCTGTTTTTGGCTCCTTTTGTGGAAATTAGTAGCAGTAGTGGTGAATTTTTATCTGTTATGAAGTGACCGGCATTAATTTGGCAAAATTAGTGGAGTTTTCGCTCGATGTAATATGTCATTTTAGAAAGAGTGACCACTGTTTCGTTTTTTTTTTTAAGATTTTAAGATGTTTGAAAAGTCTAGTTCTTGTTGAAAAGTTGAAAAAGTTTAGTTCCTGTTTTTTTTAAGAATTTCCGTTTTTCCAAGTGTGCTAGCTCCAGCCCCCGATGGATAAAGCTCTTCGTTGATGATGTCCAGATAGATAATCCAGAGATGTAACAAGTATTTTTTTTGTTTGTTAAGTGGAAATATGTGAATCCAGGTAACTGTTTATTGTTTGTTTAATTTCAAAGTAAAGACAGATATTTTTTTAGAACAATAATTGCTTTAATTAAAACTTTGCTGTCATTTTAAATTTTTCTCTTTTAAATTTAATATTCACATAAGACAGCTCGCTTTATTATTTTTTATTTTCATTTTTTGTTAAGAAAAAAAAGTTAACTTCTGTGCGGTAACATTTGTAAGTTTTATGTAGTATCTCCAACTCCTGGAGTTTGTAAGCGGATGACACACGTAAGTTTTTTGTATTCTTGTATTTCTTCATGTTATAACTGTTTGTGGTGACACAAAAATAAATGTTAAATTTTGTTTCCTTAACATTTTGTTTATTTTTTTACCTAACCCCTTTTTTGAGTTTTATTTGAAAAAGACATGTTTTTTATGTTTAATAATTATTTCCCTACTTAAAACTAGTGTTTGTAATAGGTGTAATTAGGCACCTCAAAGTGGCGCCCTATATTAAATTACTAGAGGTGTTTCCTGTTTCTTTTTATTTTGTTTGTCCCAAAAGATAATGTTAGTACCCTTATTATTTAATTTTTTTGTAGTTGCCCTAATCTAACCCTCATATCTTTTAGTTATTCACGACCCCAGCTCTCCTACCAAACCCTGACTGCCGTTCGCACAAGTAGCGATTATTTTGCTTGCCTTATCTCCACCCCTTTAGTTTCAGTCCCCAATTTTATACCCCATAGTCTTACCCCGTGTGCTAGGCAAAATATGTTCGTTACAAATAGACCTAACAGTTATAATTATTTAAATATAATATATTTATAATTGAACCTAATGAAATTATATTTTACAGTAATTATTTTTTCACTTTTCTGAATACTATGCTGTAACAAGGCAAAATATTAAATAGGAACTATTAAAACATAATATCATTTGATCTAAGCACAGTTCGGTACCACTCTTTTTTCTCAATTATCTGCAACCGAGCTATACCAATCTCTCGGAGTCTATTTGAAAATGCCTACTTTTATGGCGGTGATAAGTTTGTACTATATACGAGGGTATTTATGAGTTTACGTGTACCCAAATATTTTGATCCTTCTTATTTAAGATAGACAAGGTTTAACTTACCCGTTGTCCTAGTTTTTTTCTTTAACATATTCTATTATTTCTTATTTTTTTTAGTATATATTTTTGGTTTTTCAATTTAACCAATGTTGCATTATTCAGTTAATATCTATTTATAATCTTTATTTTTAGTCATATCGTATGGGCCGGTGAGTCGCTTCTTTAATTATGATTTACTATATTGGGAGTTTTCCACTTTTTTTATTGTTCTTTAATTTTTATCATACAGTCGCGAGTAGCCTCAATGATGAGGATACTGTAATAAATCTTTTTTTTTTTTTTTTTTGGCCTTAGGTACAAGACCTATTTAGCCAGACAATATAGGTATAAGAATATAGAATACATAAAAACAATCCTTCAAATTCATAACAATTTCCTAACCGTTCGTTCATTCGCACACCACATTCACTCAATTTCCTAACCTTCCCATTAAAAACACTATTATGTGACTATACAAAAAGGATTGAACAGGGACACACGCTTCACGCTAAGGTGCCCTTCATAGCGACTTTTTTGTAACACAAACAATACAGGCAACGGTTAAAGGTAAAAGACATAAAAGGAAAGACAATGGGAAATACAACAACTAACGTCCTACCATTTCGGATTCACACAACAACACTGAACAGGGCAGTTTAGATTTTCCGTTTGGTACGTTTGAAAAATTCCCATAAAATTGATGATCTTATAGTTGAATTTCGACTACCTAAATACATAATAGAAGCAACGTTCTGCGGCAAAATGATTTTTTCTTGAGAGATGGCTTGAAATAAAAATTTTATGGCTTCTTGATTATACCGACATTGAAACATCCAGTGGTTTAGATCGTCGTAACTGCCATTACATTCACATATATCAGTTTCAGAAAGTTTTATTTTATATAAGTAAGCATTTACTGTAGCATGTCCAAAAAGGCATCTAACGTACATAGTATAAATTTTCCGAGAGATGGGACTTCTGTCACTTAGAGGAGTAGATGGAAGAGTTGGATATATACTGCAGTATGTATTTTTGCTACTGTTAGTAAAGGATTGCCACTCAATTTCCCAATTATGTCTAACATATTTCTTCCTAGCTGAAACTATATCCCATTTGGGCAACTCGTTGTACTCTATACCCACTAAAGTAGCGTCTTTAGCCAACTGGTCTACTTTTTCATTACCTATAATATTAGAGTGACCTTTAACCCACACAAAGTTGACAATTCTTTTTAAAGAAGTTAAGATTCTTAGCTTTTCAAGCGCATCTACAATCAGTCTGTTGGTAGATATATATTTGTTTAGAAAAGTGTCTTAATGCGAGGAGGACGGACTGTGAATCAGATAAAATTATATATCGTTCGAAATATAATGTGCTATTAATTATCCAATCCAACGCCTTGACAATGGCTACCAATTCAGCTGTGAATATTGAGCAATCTGATTTTAATTTAAACTGAAAATAATCTTGAGTATTGTCTATGTAAATGGCACAGCCAACACCAGCAGGCGATTTTGAACCATCGGTATAAATTTTACAAGAATGGATGGAGTCTTCCAGCTTGTTCTGTACTATTAAATCTTCGTGAGCAATTGAAATATATGAAGGAATTACTACAGTAGGTTTATATTCATATAGTAAGTCATAATTGGAGCCAAAGAATGGAATCCCTCCTCCATTAAATGAATACTGGGATAAATTAGGAAAAGCAACAGCTAGAGTTGGAGAGTTTTTATTTGCCCACCATTTGTTTGTTAAATTTTCGACAGAGAGACAAGATATTTTTTGTAATAAGCTGTTTTGATTATTAAACTGGCATTTAAGGATAAATTTTTCTGCCAAAAATAGACGTCTTAAATGTAAAGGTGGCTCGTTACATTCTGCCAAAAGGGCTGGTGTGGGAGTAGATTTGAGAGCTCCTAGGACTAACCTTAAAGCTTTGTATTGTATTCGATCCAATTTAATCAAACGAGATTTTGTCGCTGATCCATAAAAAAAGCTTCCGTAGTCCAAAATTGATCTGGTATATGCTCTGAAAAATAATAAGTTAATTTTCGGGTCTGCTCCCCAATCGTATCGATTAACGGCCTTAAGGATATTAAGGCTCTTTTCACATTTGGTAATGCAATTATTAATATGCTCGTTCCAGGTTAATTTTGAATCCAAGGTAACACCTAGGTATGTAAAACTGTTATATACAGGAATTTCCAGCTGGGAGAATTTTAACGTACTAACTTTTGGTAACCTGTGTCTCGAAAAAAATACTACACCTGACTTCTTAGGCGAGATGTCAAGCCCATGACTATCAAAATACTTTTTGCAATAAGACATATTTACTTTAAGTGCATTAACACATTGTTCAAATGTTTTTTTCTCAACATAGAAACAGAAGTCATCAGCATATTGTAAAATGTTACACTGCATTCCCATAGTATGTAAGTTTAATGAATACAAGTTAAATAATAAGGGGCTAAGAACTGAGCCCTGAGGTAACCCTTTGTTAACTGTCCTTGGACCAATCAGTGAATTATTTAACCGAATATGAACTTGTCTATTTGTAAATAGATTGACTAGGGTATAAGCACATTTACTAGGCACTCCTAATTTAACAAGTTGATCAAGCAGAAGATCAAGAATAACGTTATCATATGCACCAGAAATGTCCACAAATAAAGCAGCTGTGTATTGGTTTTTCGAATAAGTTAACTGGATATCGGTTGCTAAATGTGAAATACAATCCATCGTTCCTTTCCCTCTACGAAACCCAAGCTGACCGTCTGGGTAAAGGTTATTACTTTCCATCCACCATTCTAGTCGACTTTTCATGATTCGTTCAAATGTTTTCAATATACATGACATAAGAGATATGGGTCTTAGGACATTGGGATCATTAGCTTTTGGGATAGGTATTACAAGACACTGCTTTAAAGAATCGCAGTTATCACCTTTAATTAGAATATTGTTAAAAATATCACGAAGAAATTGAAGTGCTATTGTAGGCAAGTAGTATATCATAAGATAATTAATACCATCAATCCCAGGGAAGGATCTCTTAGAAAACTTGATATTAGCAGTTAGTTCGTTGATACAAATAGGAGATGACAAAAAATGTGATTTAAATGTATCTTCAGTGGGATATATTGGAGAGGGAACATAGCAAGGAGCTATTTTATGGAACAAATTTTCAACGATATTTTCGTCGTGCACAGACAGATTTTTATTTTTTTTAATTTTCTTAATTCTATCCCATATTTCAATTGGATGAGTTTGTCTGTTTAGATTGAGACAGAAGTTGGCCCAACTATTTCTACATTTCTGTTTAAAGATTAGTTTACATTTAGCATTTAGTTTTTGATATTCAACAAAGTTTGCCAGACACATATTTTGTTTGTACCTTTTACATGCAATTTTTCTCTTATTCGATATCTCACGGCACTCCTCGTCCCACCATTTAGGTGATTTGAATGATATATTTGAGGATGATCTTAGAATTTTGCAAGCTTTGTTCGCAGCATTCGTAATCTGTTCCATTAAAAATATACACATACCGTTGGTATCGATGCAGTTTGGTGGCGTGGAAAATGATTTCTCTATTTCAGCTGTATATAAGGTCCAATTTGCTTCATTCGTAGACCATTTACATAATGGGAACGTGATTGCATCATCATTGTGATAATAGTTATTGAGCGTAATACTGATTGGGTAATGATCTGATCCATAAGAATCCTGACTAACAGACCAACCAAGTGTAGGACATAACTTAGATGAAGCAATTGTGAGATCTACTGCAGATTTAGCCTGGCCAGGAGGGGAAATCCTTGTGGCAGACCCATCGTTTATAACAATCAAGTTTGAAAAATGATCTAAAGCATCCACCAAAACTCTGCCATCATGTGAGCATGAAGGTGAGCCCCACATGCCGTGATGGGCATTAAAGTCGCCTCCTATTATGCAATCATGTTTTATTTGACTAAATAAATTGATGTAGTCTTGAGATTTCGCTTTAACATCGGAGGGTTTATATAGAGATACTATAGAGAGTTTTTGGTTACCAAGAATGATATTGATTCCACAACCTTCAATTTTTGGATTAAAATTATGATTAAATTGAATGACATCGTATATAATTTTATGTGAAATGAAAATTGCTACTCCCCCATAACCTTTATCTCTATTAACCGCAATGACGTTAAAGTTATTAAACTTAATGTTGTCAGTAGGCTTATACCATGTTTCAGAAATTATTGCAATATCAAACTTTTCCTCCATTAAAATTTGGTAAAAAGAATTTTTGTTAGCTTTAAGAGATCTAGCGTTCCACTGAATAATTTTAAGATTTTGTTTAAAGGACATCTTTGAGTTTTTTTTTTGTTTTAGGTTTTAAATATATTATCAACAATGTTTTTAATTTTATTTTCAAACTCTATTTCTTCAAAATTTAAACTACTATTTGATAATGGATTCTGTGAAAATTGGTGAAAAAAACTTGTTAACATGGTAATTAATTGATGTTTAAGTGTTGAAAAATCATTTTGCGACTCTTTTCCAAACTGGAAGGTCCTGCACAAAAGCTAGTATTATATTCTCGTCTAATGGGTGGAAAATTGGGAGAAGAATCACTAGTTTTTCTTTTTTTTGGCAAGGGTTTAGGAGAAGATGGTTGATCATGTGTTGACCTAAAGTTCGATTTAAAAGAAGTATTAGGGACAAGATGTTGTGCTGTAGAAGTTTTTAAAGCAGGAAATTCTATATCCGAATCAATTAATGGGGCAAATTTATTTTTTTGTATGAGGCTAGAATAGGCCGGATTGTTAATAATTTTTTCAGCTTCTTTGAAAGATATATTCAAATTAGACATAGCTTCTTTGACTCTAGTTTGCTTTTTGAATTCAGGACACTCCTTATAAGTAGAATTGTGACTATTATTTTTGCAATAAACACAAAAAATTTTGCATGCTTCGCACACAGATTCATTTTCTGACCCACAATTTCTACACCTTTTCTTTCCCCTACACTGTGAGCCGGAATGGCCATATCGGAGACAACGAAAACATTGCATAACTGGATTAATATAAGTTTCTACAGAGCATCTAACTTTGTTAATATAAATATATTGAGGAATAAGTTTTCCTTCAAACGTAACAATGATCATTTGACGAGGAACACGTTCCATATTGTTGTCTTTTTGGATGACTCTAGTCATGCGTTTTACTTTTTTGATAGGTACACTAGAATTAATCATTTTTAGGAGGGCCTCCTCGCTGTAGGAAGTATCTACAGATCGGACTAACCCGCGTTTTTCTATAAGATGACCAGGAATATATGCCAGTAAATTATTCTTTTCAAAGAATGGATCTTTAACTAATTCATTGGCAATACTGCCCGAATTAAGTTCGATTTTTATACGATTGCGACCAACCGTACTAATTTCAATAATATTTTTATCATACTCTTTTAGATTTATTAAATTTTCACCCAATTTCATTGGATGTAATCTCCCAATATTTAATTCTAAATGTTCAACAAAAACATGAAACGGTCCCATATCGTTAGGTTTAAATCTATTTGTTAATTGGTATAATAAACGTTGTTTATCATAATACGAGTTTTTGTCGGATTCCAAGTTTTTGTCGAGTGTATCTGTACTAGATAATTCATTTAATTGATTATTATTTTTATTGTTTATACATGAACTCATATCAATATCTTCAGGTACAATGATATCCTCAACAAGAACGTTAACTCGACTATCTTTATTAAATTTACCATTCGGCGGCCCCTTGCCGCTGGTGGATGAGTTGTTTTCCCCGGACATTGGTCCGGGGCAGAAATATTCAAGAAATCAAAATTTACTTACAGTAGTTTTCCTTTTAAACACAAACTTAATATACTTATAACTAATAATGTGAACCAAATAACCTACAAACACCGATGTCACTTTGTATAGCGTATGATAGACGACTTTACTAGCCAACAGTCGGAGTACGAATGGTAATAAATCTTATTAACTACCATCTGCATAAATTAAGTAGAGTAGGATAATATAGAAAACTTTATTTTATGTTACTTAATTCATATTTAAATTGTACACCATAAATATTATTGATATAACAATAGCATGGAATCTAATTGCAAATATTTGATTTTATTATCTTCAGTAAATGTGCAACAAGATCTGAGTCGGTTTTTGGGCAGTATTTCGTAATGCTTTGGTTAATACATGTTTCCACTTCTTCAATTTGTCTAAAATGAAAATAAAACTTTTAAGCAATGAAATATTTTTGTTATCTACTCAAGTTTAAACTATTGTATTAAACGTAATTAAATTAAATGACTAGCACAAAACCGAATAATTAACATGTTTATTCATTTCAGTCTTAATGACAAGGCTACCTCAATTTATAACTGTAGACTCATTATTTAACCCTGCTGTACCGTTCGAGTAAACTACACAAATGTACTGTTCGGGTCAATATGACCCAACTATGATTTACGCTCCCTAATAGAAATAAAATAAGCTAATGGTGCTAAACAAAACTGTATTAATAAAAAATTATAGTTAATTAAACAATAATTATATTGTTACTGTAAATTAAACCTTATTAACAAAAATAAAAAGCATTTTTTCTTTCCCAGAAAACCCTAAGAACAAATATCTACAAAATTTAATTCAGTTTACAACTGGGACAATAATAGAAAGAATGGGTTTTACAAATATGTTTATGACATATACAACATAAAATATTAGTCTTGTTATCCCTTTTAGAGCAAAATTTACAGCGTGCTCGTTTAGCAGGCGGAGTTGGATGGTCCATAGACGGTTCACTAAAATTTCCATCTTCTCTACTCGCTTCTGCTCGTGTTCTTTTTACCAGTTCTTGTGAGTCTTTAGTTCTCGGTAAATTTTTCCTGGAAAGGATAAGTGGTTTCACCAGTGTTTTTCCCAACTCCTCAAGAAAAATTCGTCGTTTTGTAAGTTTATTGGTATTTCATTGGGGATTTATCGATGTCCATAAAACGAACGCGTTGTAGGCAGAAATGTCCAGCATATTGTAAAAAACAATCATGGGCCAGCGATTTGTCTTCCTCTTACATGTATATGTACCAACAAGCTGATCTAGAGTATCCACTGCCCCCTTACTGGAATTGTAATCTAAAATAATTTGGGGCTTCTTGTCATTTCTGTCACTAATAGCCTTTTCATGATGCAAAGTACTCATAAGAATAACATTTTTATTCTTTTTAGGAATATAGTTAACAACAGTGGTATCTTGTGTGAAGTAAAAAGACCAACTATGAACTTCTTTATTCGCAATTTGTGCTGGAAGCTCTCGTTTATTTTTTCTTATAGTCCCCAGCATTGTATTTTTTCTTTTTAGAAGAAGTTGTCCTAAATTGTACGATGTAAAAAAGTTATCACATGTAATATTGTGGCCTTTCAAATCACTACTCAAGTCGCACACCACACGCATTCCCTGATTTAGTTTTGGCGCGGCACCTGCTTCCTTTCCTGTATAGATCTGCAATTTTAGAGCATAAGAACTTTTACTGTCACATAAGGCCCAAATTTTTATGCCATATTTCGCTGGCTTGCTTGGAATGTACTGTTTGAATGGACAGCGGCCTCTTAAGGCAACTAATTGCTCGTCGACGGTAACATTTTCATCAGGGTTAAAAAATTTTGGTAGATTTTTAACCCATTTTTCCCAAATTTCACGTATTGCAGCAAGTTTATCAGTACGTCTCCTATCCTGTCTAGTAGTCTTGTTATCAAAACGTATTACTTGCGAAATTTTTGTAAATACTTCAAGGGACATTGTTGCTCGAAATATACTACGACCCGTTTCTTCATTCCACAAACTTTTAGTTGATTCACCATGGGACTTAAAAACTCCAGCTAACAATAACAGACCAATGTATGCTTGAAAACCAATTTTATCTAAGTGTTTCCAGTTGTTTCCAAAAACACGCTGTCCTTCCATGTTGGTCATATTTATAATTTGGTTTGCAACTATGTCAGAAAAGAGTGCGTCAAATGAATTTTTAATATCGAAAATTCGTGCACATGCATACCTTGTAACTCCTGGAGCATTATTTATAACATTGGCCGTAGAAAAACGACCGCGTTGATAAGGAGGATCGAGCGACCATTGGATAGTATCGTCTTTTGAAGGAACCGTTACAGAAGGTTCTACAGGATGTTGTACGTAGAATGGAACACCAAAGGATTCATCACTACTTTCTTCCTCACTCTAACTACTTGTATTGTTTTCTGTTTCTGATATGCACTCATCACTCTCTGACACGTTCGCGAGCTCGCGAAGCTCATCTTCGGTTAGCGCTCTACGGTGCGACATTATCAACATGCAAACATAGACTGAAATTTGAAATATAAACGAATAAATGAATGCGCTTGGCCTTGGAATATTAGTGTTTTACCACTTGTCTATCACCCCCACTTCCTTTTACGTTACATGCCATTCTACCTGACATCATCCAGCTACACTACACATATTTTACAAGTTCTAGCTTGTAGAAACTTGTTTTTATTTATAGACGTACCTGACTGACAAACACTATTAGAAAATATAAAATACTACCAACTAAACATACCTATACAGGTAATTTTTAACGGTTTAAATAAGTGGGTCATATTGACCCGAGCGTACCATAGGTAACAATTTAATTTTTATCAAAAAATGAGCAAGTTGATTTTTTATCTTTTATGCAATTGAAAGACCTCATATTAAGTAATAAAGTCACGAAACACCAAAACGTTACGCCGCGTAATAATTTGTAAAATAAGAAATAATTTTTTTTTTTTGGGTCAAATAGACCCGAACAGGACAGCAGGGTTAAGTAAAAGTTATGTCCTGTCTTCAAGTGATGGTCCACTAAGGCACAAGAGTTTTTTCGTAAGTTACAGTCACTTTTGTGTTGAGTGACACATTGTTTAAGCCACTGTTGACTTTGTCCAATATAACAACTTTGACATTGACTGCAATTTATTCTGTAAATTATATTACGCATTAATGAATGTGAAGTTTTAACTTTTATTTTTGAGAACAACCTTGAATTTAAAAATGGATTGTATTTAATTAATTTAATGTTCGGAAATGTTTTGAAAATTGGGACAATTTGGTCTTTTAAATTTTTTATGTAAGGTATTTTTTTGTATAAAACTGGTTGTGGATTATTTATTAAAGTTCTATTTGAAAATTAAGTTATTTTAATATATGTTTTGGGTAGCCGTTGTTTAAAAACATTCCAAAAAGGATCTTTAAATTAACATCTAGGAAACTCGGATCACAGATTGTCATTACAGAATATTTTTGATACCAATCTAATATGATTCTGTTGTCAATAGTTTTTAATGACAACCGTATCTTAGTACCAAAATAACAGTTAAGATAACAACTTTGGTTATTAAAAGTGTTAAATGTGTTATGTTAAAAAAAAAAACGTTTTTTGAATGTATACTAAATGACCTTTAGCCATAGAAGCGTATGCTGCTCTCCATCCATTGAGCTGCTGCTCAATGGATGTCGATGACCATGTTTAACCCAACCTAGGTTTTTACAGCAACTCTGAATAACTATCGTCCACTGCCTTAAGTTTTTTACGGAAATAAACTATTTTTATATTTGTTTTTTTGTTTTTCATCAATTTTATTACCTTTACTAGACAGAACTAGAACTAGAGGGTTCTTCGTAGCGTCCTTATACTTCTACATCGCTTTTAATATGAAAAGAGACTGGTTTATATAGCTAATGGATTTTGACAAGAGCCATGTCAAAATATTGACATGGTCATCGACATCCATTGAGCATACGGTACTGGAAGAAAAAGCAGCATACGCTTCTATGGCTAAAGATCATTTAGTATACATTCAAAAAACGTTTTTTTTTAACATAACACATTTAACAATAAAAATATGTATACAAAATGTTTAAAATGGAGATTTTCTACATTTTGCTATTGCATGTCTACCCTACAACAGTAATAAATGCATAAGTACATTTTTAATCAAGTTGCCATGATATTTACATATCTGACATTAAACATAAAATACATATTTGACAGTTACAATAAATTCTAATTAAAGATGCCGGTGGTATTGAATTTAGAAGAAAAAATAGAAATTGTGCTAATTGTGGGTGATAATTATAAAACGTATCGGGAAGCAGCTGAAATATTTAATAACAGACATCCAGGAAGAAATAAACAACATACAACAGTTATGAGACTTATGGTAAAATTCAAAGTATACGGAGATGTTAAAAATAAATTCAGCAACAAACGTGAAAAACGCGTTGCAAATGAGGCGACGAAATTAGATGTAATGTTATCTACAGTGCAAGATCCTAAATATTCTCTACGAAAGAGGGCATTGTTGTTGCAAAATGCAGGTAAAAGTACAATTGCAAAAATTTTGAAAAAAAATCAGTTTAAACCATATAAGCCTAAATTTATTCATACATTGAAACCTAGAGACTACGATAAGAGAATAGAATTTTGTTTTCCTATTCAAGAAAAAATTGAAGACGATCCTTTTTTGGTTAGAAAAATAATGTTTTCAGACGAAGCTACATTTAATTCAAATGGAACGGTGAGTTCTCAAAATTGTCGATGGTGGAGTGACAACAATCCTAACTTCACAATTAGGACTCGTGATCAATATTCATTTAAAATAAATGTTTGGTGTGGCATTTACAAAGATAAAATAATTGGGCCATTTTTTTTTTCGACAATCCATGACCTCTCAGAATTATCTAAATTTCTTACAAACTCACGTGTGTGATTTTATTGATGACCTATCACTACATGAACGGCAACAAATATGGTACCAGCAGGACGGCGCTACATGTCATAGTACATTGGAAGTAAGGCAGTATCTGGATCATTTGTTTAACGGAAGAGTAATCCACAGATATTCAGAGATTTTTGGCCAGCTAGGTCGCCAGATTTAACCCTGTTAGATTATTTCTTTTGGGGTTACTTGAAAGAGAATGTATACAAACAAGGGCCGTTTACAAACGTCCAACATTTGGAAAGGGTTATTACGGAAACCATTCAGACTATAACTCCCAACATGATTCGAAATGTGTTAAGAGAATTTTGTCGTAGAACGGAAACTTGTATTGAAAGAGAAGGTGGGTACGTTGAGGCAATGGCGGTTTGATCTAAGAAAATCTATTACTTAATATTTTTTGCAAATATTTTTAACAACTTATTGTTATAAT